AACAACAACAACAACAACAACAACAACAACAACAACAACAACAACAACAACAACAACAACAACAACAACAACAACAAATAATAATAATAATAAAATTAGTAATATTAGTAAAATAATAGAGAACACAATTAGTGATGGCATAATTGAAAATATGTCAAAATTTTTTGTGTCAAAACATCGTACTTTGAGTAGAGACGTTTATTTATTATTATAATTATAGATATACAGTATTATATGAAAAAGAACTTGGTTCACTATCTAACACAGTTCTGGTTATATTTGATGGCTATAATAGATCCACAATTACCACTTCTGAAAGTGTTCAAGTTGTGCCAATAGCTCCTATTAGGAGAACTTGGGACAGAAAATTTTGATACGTATTCTTTCACTGACAATCACTTCACAGACAGCTTAGTTCATCAACAATTATTCACAGATAAGTTTATTTCATTAACAATTATTTCATTGGCAGATAATTTCTCTGACAAGTATTTTTTATAAATTACACTAACTTTTAACTCTAATTCTAACCTGACACTAATAGCAATGACCAGAATTATTTTATCAGTAAAATAATTGTTAGTGAAATGAACTTGTTTGTGAATTAATTGTTAGTGAACTAAGCTGTCGATAAAGTGATTGTTGGTGAAATGCGTACCATCTGAAAATTTGGCAATTGCTTTTGCATAGGTAATCACAGTGCATAAATTTCAAGGCTTAACTCTTGCTAAAGCTGTAGTGAACATTGAAGAAAGAGAATTTGCAGCTGGTCTCTCATTGTAGCAATATCATGAGCTCAATTTATTAGAGATCTAATATTTGAGCCTTTTATCTTTGAAAAACTCTGGTGCATCAAAAAATGTACAAGAGTACAAGAATTAATATTGGAAGAGAAATGTCTTTTAAATATTAATTAATATTTTATGCATAATAAGACTATATAAATTTAATTAATTTATTTTTATAATTTGGCTATATCATCTTTTAAGAAACTTTATAAATGAGCATGATATGTTTTCTTAAGCCAGATTACAAGTTCCTTTGAAAATTTAGATATAATGAGAACTAATTATTTAAATTTCATAATTTAATATATAAGAAAACAATACTTAAATTTGGAACTAGATTTGTTTTTTAAATCTGAATTTATTTAATTATAATGAGAAGCTTTGAATTTAATCCGGTTTTAATATATTCGGTTACTTCAGTTTAACCAGTTTTATTATATCTGATTTTATGTTTATTTTTATAATTTCTTATTATAAAACTAATTGATCAATTCAACCTTTATAGCTTTTTTAAGTATAAGTTAGAAGCTATTAATTCCAAATGCCAGAAATTTAATGCAATATGTTTGCATTACATACTGGTATTGTTAGATTCAACTTAAATACTACATTTCTAAATTATACAATACTTTCATAATTTTTTCAAGAGTTAAAGTTACTAATCATGCATTAAAATATGTGCGAATTCAATAACTAACAAGCTCTGAGCCATACCTATATATTTATGATATCTATTTTAATGCTAATTAAAATATTGCATAGCTTTTTATTGATCTAGATACATTAAATAAATACACTGCTTATATGCTATATTGATTAAATATACTGCTTATATGCTATACTTATCTCTAAATATTAAACCAAAATTTTAATCAGAACCTTAATTTATGAATTTCTAGCATACAAAATTCAGTATTTAGCACTATCAAATGAGATATTATTTTTTGGAAAAAAATAATATAACTTTTATTGCTCTAATGTCAATGGCAAGAACATTGGATAATATATACTATTATATTTTATAAATAAGATACTGTTCACCAAATTAGGAGATAATCTTGTTCTTTTTGATAAGATGTGATTGTTAGTATCTGAGAAAAGTCTTTCGCTAGAAACAAAATTTGCAGGGATTACAAAATATTTGCAAGCTAATTGTGATAAAATAGAATAGTTTCTTTTGTATTTTCACTACCATTCCAATGAATCAGTTTTTTGGAGTTCTTCAGAATAGTTCAAATAGCATACAATCTCATCTTCAGTTGGTGAAATATTTTCAAATCTATTATTAGTTCACATTTCTGTAAATATATCATCATCATTATCTTCAATTAAACTTGTCTCGATTGTCTTTTCTTGGTTTGAAACTATCATATCCTGTTTAAGTTGATTATATAAATTCTTCAAAAGCGATTCAGCTTGAATTTTTTGTACACAATCAGATCCTTTTAAAAATGGAAAATTCATCATCTGTGGGTCCAATATTGTTGCTACCAAAGAGATTTCACTTGTTATTTGTCATAATTCATCAAATAAAATGTAAATAGCAGTACAGACCTTTTGAATAAGATCTATAGTGTCTGCTAATGGTAAATATACAACTTTATTTGTAACTTCAATTTTACAATTTTTGTTTTTTTTTAATATAACTATGTTTGTAACTATGAATATGACATCGACCAGATCTTTACTTATGTTTTATTTGTTGTTTAAAACATCAATATGTATATTGCTAATACTTTTGACTTCCAGCTGTTGGAATACTATTATTATCACTTATAAAGCTTGAATTACTATCTTCTTTCATTGAATCTATTTGTGGCCTATAAATAAGGTCTAAATAATTATCAATTGTTTTACCAGTTTCAAATTTTGGTGCAAACATTTGTTTAAGTTTATACATATATGGATATATTATATTTAGTATTAGATATTTAGCTCCTGATAGATATCGTGTTATAGTTTTAAAAGGTTCTAATAATTTAACTATTTCTTGAACAAATCCAATAAAATTAATAAATATTAGGTACTTAATACTATTTTTAAAAAATTACTAGTATATAAAATATATTATATTTTTTCTTCATGTGTTAAGTATAACCTTTCTAACTTTACTTCTTCTTTTTAAGACAAATAATTATGCTTTGACAATAATGATGCTGAGACTAAGTGTATTGAATTATGTAGCTCAAGTAGATGTTTCTATGCAATTAGAGTAGAATTCTAACGAGTTTTAGCATCTGTTAAAACATCTAATAGACTTGTTGATATTTTATAATTTTCATCTATTATTTCATTTGCAGTATCTTGTACTTTGCACAAACTTTGTTCTTGTTTTGGTAATCCAAAAAATATTGTAAGCTTTTAATTCTTTGATATATATCTTTGTATTGTTTTAGATCTTCACATACAGATAACTGTAAAGTATGTACAGCACCTGGTTGTTTTTTAATATTAGGTAAATGTTTATTAAAAAATAATATGCTTTAGATCATATTTGCACTATTATTAGTTGCAACAGCAAAAACCTTATTATTAAGATCCCATTGTTGTATAATTTGATATAGTTTATCACCAATAATTTGACCTGTGTGTAGATAATCTAAATTATTACAAGTAAGCAAAACTCATAATAATTAGAAGTAAGTCATATTGCTGTCACTCTGATATATCTATAATTACTTTTGGCTATTCAAAAATCAGTAGTAAAATTAATTAATATAGCTGTTTCTTTAAGTAGATCATATAATTGATTTTTATACCAAAAGTAAGCTTTATAAATTAGGCTTTTTGCTGCTTTTTTATATAGAATTGGAAACCTGGGTTCATATGCATAAATCAATTCTTGAAAATTTGCATCTTGAAGAAAATATAATAGTTGTATGGATTTAATTATAAATTTAATTAAAAGACATGAAAGCTTATATTGTTGAGCCTTGCTACATTGAGTTATTTGTAAATTATCTTGTTTTGGCTAATTTATATAATTAAAAATAATAATAAAACTAATATTATATTTTAAAATATATATTTAATAATATATATTACCTCATTATTTTAATCTAGATATTCACAGAAATTTTGTACAGTAATAGTATACTTATCTTATAAATAGTTAGATATATTTGAGGTAGAGCCTCCTTTTTGGCTATAAAGGTAAGGTTTTTTATTTGTATCTTCCAAATTTTGCTTATATATTTCACAGTAAGCTATCTCATTATTAGCCACATCATTGTTAAAAAAAAGTAATATGGCTTTTGTTGACTCTAATACTTTTTTCAAAATTGCTTTTACAATTTTTTTTAGCTATTAGATGAACTTATTGAAGAGGTTTGGTTATAATATTTACGATAAAATAGGAGAAAATAAATAAGAAAATGCTATTATAAATTTTGTAAGCTACACTTATCATATTTTATTATATATATATATAATTGCAATAAACTTTATTTTACATAATTATATTTTGTTAATCAATTTAATTATTTCATTTCATAGCTAATTTATTACTTCATTTATTTTTTAAAAAATCTCATTCTATAAAGAAAATCAATAAATGCCTTTAAAAAAAATAAAATAATCAGGGACTTTTACTATAATAACAAAACCTTTTAAAAGCCCTGTGTAAAACTTGATAATTAAGCCAGAATTCTGATTTGTCCTTACTATGTTATACAATAGTAAACAAAATAAAGTTATTACTTATTATATATTATAACCTGAATTATCTTATATATAATAAGGTTATCTGCATAAATTAAATTTAATATATACTGATATATATATACTAGTCCTTTGTTATGGAGTAATTAAGAAATAACAATAATAAATGAAAACAAATAGTAATTATAATATAAGTAGAGCAATTATTGTAAGCATTATAATTTAGTTATAGAGAATTTGATACTTAAAATAAAGATTAGATTCTCTATTATATTTGCTTCAAAAAGTATCATTTCTAACAAATATTTAAAGTATATTGGATATTCAAATTATAAGTGTTTTACTCTATTCTGCTTGTTAGAGTTTATTGGTAAAGTAAATAGGAAAGACATAGAAGTTAAATATAAGCACTTCATATATAATAATTTTATAGTTGTATATTGTTAATAAAAATTTTTTTATTTAAAAAACAAATTTTTTTTTTTTTGTATAATGTTGCCAGTTTACGGTTTTCTTTATTAGAAGTTAATTGATGATCTGCCACTCAATAGAAGAATGATCATAGTGTAACATGACGCAATTTACTATATAAATCTAATATAGCCTGAATATGAAAAATTTCTAACATCTGTCTAAAAACCTTTATTTTGTACTAAGTTAATTAGCTTTGTCACTTAATTGAAAGTTGTAAAGCTTGTCTTTGCGGTTCTAATGGTAGTTAAATCATTCAAATCGGCCTTGTGGATGCCAAGATAACTTTAAAAACATTTCTTTAACTATATAAACTTTTTTGTAATTGTTTTAAAGAAGTTTATATAGTTAAAGAAAAGGTTTTTTAAAGATATCTTGGCATCCACTAGGCCGATTTGGATAATTTAACTACCATTAGAACCGCAAAGACAAGCTTTACAACTTTCAATTAAGTAACAAAGTTAATTAACTTAGTATAAAAAAGGTTTTCTTAGGCAGATATTAGAAATTTTTTATATTCAGGCTATATTAGATTTACATAGTAAACCGCATCATGTTACATTATGATTATTCTTATGTTAATGATATTATATTTATATTACAAATTTTATATTATGCTATATTTGTAAATCTTTTCTATAAAGCTAATCTGTTCTCTTGTGCTTCTGTGTATTACTACCAAACCACCCAAGTTAGACAACTACTTACTATTCTTCCTATTAGGCATGTCTCAAATGCAATTACCTGTCATATTAGTATCATGTCTAATGAAAGAGCATAGCGAAACCTCCTAATTTCTTCCATGTTCTACACACTTCCAGATTAGATATTCAGAGGTGTTTCTACCCCTGCCCTTGATAAGCTTACATAACCCCAGTACCCACATTTGAACTTCTTTCTTCTACAGATTCTTTACTGGTCTATCTTTTACTTCTAGCTGGCAACTCAGAAAAGTTGGGTTTACCTAAGCTTTAGATGCCTTATAGTCTTCTTACTCTTGATACATACTTCTGAAGCATATGTTTTTTTTTTCCGGTGCATTTTAACCTGGTGGTTTGGCTAGTATGTCCCCCTACTTAAGGACCTAATCACTCGGTTTTCCAGTCTTGGTTTCTGGTTTCAAATTTGGTCTTCCTGTAGCACCATTGAAAATCATGCTACCTCTCAACTTGGTACATTCCAAATTAGTGATTGGCGCCATAATCATGTAATGCTAATTGTCACATGATACAATATAAAAAATTAACAATTAGATTGTTGATTATTATATATTTTACCACGTAACAATTAGCATCACATGATTACAGCGCCAATCACTATTCCAAATAGGTTTTCAGTTATGCCAGTTTCTTGGGTTTTTGTGCCAAAGCTCCAATTACTAGATAGTGTGACTGAAGTTACAAATTTAGTTCTAGATCCAACTAATAAGCATAGCCATTAACTAAACACAGGCCTATTTTCTAAATATCATCATCTGTAGGATTCAAACTCTAAACCTGCCACTTGGAAAGGGTGATGACTAGACCACTACACTAAGTCACCACACCTCAAGAAACAAATTTAATTTTATCTTATTATATTGCATAAATTCAAATATCCAGTTTTATTAAAGCTGATAAATTTAAATATCTCCAGTTTTATTAAAACTAGTCTTCATATTAAATAAATTTTATATTCAAATTCAGATTTAAATTGAATAAAATTAGTTTTAAATTTAAAGATCGAATATGGTTATAAACTCTAACAATGCTTTACATAATAAATTATGATATAATAATGTCATATTAATCTTTTTAATCTCTAAAAACTTAATATCACAGAAGTTAAAAGCTTTAAGGTTTCATCAAACATATAGATAAGTATATAATAGGTATTAAAAAATTTTTATTAATAATATACTGCAAATTAACAAATTTGAAATTTTGTTTCAAATACAAAGCAGTACTTTAGAACCAATAGATCCTGTTTTTCTAGTATATAGTTAAAATTTATTAAAGTATCCTAATACACTTGTACTAAAATTTAAATACCAACACCTTCTATTTTTAAATTATAAACGTATATATATTTATCAGTAAATAAAATCTAAAATTATCTAATTAGCTCTAATCTTTGGCACAAATATGAGATCTTTTGGATATTACAGATTTGTATATTAGTACTATACTATGAGTTCTACACTATTTGCTGTATCTACACCTCAACTACAGAAGTGTTTATTTAAAACCTCTGATCTTAATTGCTTATTGTTTTTACATCTTATCTATGTATAACCTATCTATTTATATGTTAAATTCTGCAATATCTATAGATTTCACACTTACTTTAGGATTTACTAACTTAAGCTAGTCTATTTATAAAATAAATCTAACAGAGTAGTTCATGTACTATACTTGTTTTATCTGCATATTCAGTAACTTCTTTCTAACTAGTACCTGTTGTGCTGCTGTTACTAAGTTTGTATTTTAAGCTACTCTTTAGAATGCTGCTATAACCCAATTCATATCTCAAGCTACAATCTTCCTAATTAGTCACCTATTACTTACTTCTATCTTTAAAGAGTTTACAACAACCCCAGTATCTGAAATTAGACCTTTTTCTTATATAGATTCTTTATTAGTTCCTCTTTTACTTCCAACCAGTAACCCAAAAAGGTTAGTCTGCTCAGACTTTAGGTACATTATAGTCTCTCTTCTCTTGGTATATACTTTAAGAGTGTATGTCTTTTTTTTCTTGTATATCTAGTATCTA